AGAGCCTTCGCTGTGCTCAGGCCTGGCTCTTGGGTGGGTGGTTAAAGGAGAAGGCATCTTGCCTTTAGCAAAGGGCTGTGTGGACAGATGGATGCGGATGTGAAGAACTATATACGGAAAAGGAACGTATATAGGATGCGTTTCCATCAGAAAAAGTGAAGAAGTTGTAGCGGTGTGAGGCAGCTTTGAAGTAGGTGTTAGTTGGGCTGGTTTTGCTAATCAGTTATTAAAACAAATAGTTGTGCCCCCAGCCAGCCTCGTTTCCTGCAGCTTCTGTAATGGCGTCGTAGGGCCGAGACAAATGGCTCTTCAGTTGTTAAGAGCAAAAATAAATCTGTCATTCGTAGTTCCCCCTGTGAATCCCTGGTTGCTCTGGGAGTCTCTGCACTGTTTTCTGCTGGCAGAGATGGGGCTTTTCTGAGTGCGAGGAACAGCCCACAGCCTGAGTCCTGGCTCTGGCTCGAGGGGCTGTGCTCTGCGAGAGGGATCTCTGCTGTTGCTCAGCACCTTTATGGGGAAGTGAGTTTAACTGAACTGGAGCAAGACTGCTCGGAACAGAACAGCTATTGCTCTGCAGATTTGCTTGCTACATGATCCTGAAATGACTACCTCGGTAGATAAGTGTTTACAAATTCTGTAACTCTGAGCATGTGATGGAGCTCTGATCTACACTAGCGGAGTAGTCGCGTTGGTTTTTGTTGTCCCCAAAGAGAGATGGTTCTGCTGAGTCTGAATTAAACCCTGCCCTGGGCCCAGGCTGCCACCCCTTTGGCTGCGTAGTGGTACCGGCTGGCTCGGGCCTTGCGCTGCCCAGTGAGGATGTGCCTGAGCTGTTGGTGCCGGTAAACGGGCTGGCAGAGGTCGGCTGCGAGCGGCGAGAGCCAAATGGGCATAGGTAGCAGCTCCTCCTGCTGTCCCGTGTGAGCTGGCTGAGCTTCGCTCGCTGCCAGGTGGGATGTGAGGGATTTTGGCTTTGCTCATGTCCTCCTCCCTGACCCCTCGTTACAGGACTGCCCCCCGCCCTACTTCAGCAGCAGCCAGCGGCTGGTGGGTCCCCAGTGCGGAGCGTCCCGGCTGGAAAGCGCTGCTGAGAACCCTGGCGTGCAGGTGATGGCTGGGATGGGAGCTGGGGGGGAAATGGGAGCAAAGATCCTGATGAGCTTGGGAAGAGACTGTGGTTATGGGAACCTGGGGAGCTCCTGGGGCATGGGGAGAAGGTGCTGGACAGCAGGAGCAACTTTGGGAAGTGCTGTTGGTATGTAAAAACCTGGGGGGGAGGGGGCAGGGATACTGCAGAGGACACCACAGTGCCCTGAGGTGTTGGGCATGAAGTGCCAGGCAGATCCCTCGGGGCTTGGGATTTGCAAAGCAGGTCTGGTGTAATTACCTCCTGGGAAGATCTCCTCTCTCAGGGTTCAAGGAAGGGCACCCACAACTTTGAACCCTGAAGTGACTCAAGGTGGTACCAGGCCATGAAATTCCAGCAAAGAGAGCCACCACTGTGCTGACCTTTCTCTTCTGGGCTGGGCTTTGCTAGGGAGACGAGGGGGAGCTCCTGGGGCATGGGGAGAAGGTGCTGGACAGCAGGAGCAACTTTGGGAAGTGCTGTTGGTATGTAAAAACCTGGGGGGGAGGGGGCAGGGATACTGCAGAGGACACCACAGTGCCCTGAGGTGTTGGGCATGAAGTGCCAGGCAGATCCCTCGGGGCTTGGGATTTGCAAAGCAGGTCTGGTGTAATTACCTCCTGGGAAGATCTCCTCTCTCAGGGTTCAAGGAAGGGCACCCAACAACTTTGAACCCTGAAGTGACTCAAGGTGGTACCAGGCCATGAAATTCCAGCAAAGAGAGCCACCGCTGTGCTGACCTTTCTCTTCTGGGCTGGGCTTTGCTAGGGAGACGAGCTATTCTGTGTCGGACCCCCCAGCAGCTACCAGCTCCCTTCCTGGGAGCAGCCCCGCTTACCAAGCTACGAGAGCGTACGGAAGAAAGATCGACAACGGGAAATCCATCAGATGATTGCCGAGAGGTTTGGGCTGTGGGCAGAGCCTTCCCAGGAGGTAAGCTCTCCCTCCCCTGCACAAGGGTGCTGGTGGGGGCCTGGGAGCAGTCCCCGCTCCAGTCCGTATCTGGGTCTTGCTTCAGCAATTCGCAGTAGTTCAGGACTCTGTTCTCTGCGATTGCCTTTCTCTGATAGCCGTTATCTCTGGGAAGGGCACAAAGTGTACCGGGAGGCTCCTTTTGTGTACATCTGTGCTGGTTAATGATTGATCTCTCCTGATGCGTTTGCAGAAATGCCTGTGCCAGGAGGGAGGGCAGAGCTGCTGATGAAAGGGCAGGCCCTTTGGATCATCTGCTCGGTACAAGTCCAAGCTGGGAAAGTTATTTTTAGATCTGTAAGCCTTCCACGGTTTCTTGCTCCCTTCTCCCTGCAGGACACCTCTGGGAGGCCCCTCGATATTACCTTGAAGTGTTTATGGCTTATTTATGAGCAAGAGGCTTTGCCTGTTACGACATTTGCACTCCTGCAACAGAATAGAGAAATGCGAGTGCATCTGCCAAGTAGTTCCTGCGGCAGTGACCCGAGAGACTCCTGTTGGAGTCCTCATTGAGTAAAGTAAAACAGAAACATTTGAAACCCTGAGCAGAGTGCTAAAGGGTTACTGATTTACCTGGATTTAGGGCTCTTAAAGCTGCACCATAAAGTTTGCCAGAGTCAGCACTTGCCACTCACTATACCTGCCCTGAAACCAGAGTACTGAGGGCACAGAAGAGTAAGGCCCCAAAGATGAGTCGTTGAGGAACTGCAATGGGAGCTCTTTAACAACATCCCTGTGCCACTCCTGTCAGTCATTACGGGACAAAGCTAGCCAAGCTCTGCCAAAATAAATGTAATGACAGCCCAGAGGTTCCTCTCTGCCGCTGTGCAGTGAGACTCGCTGCCAAAACCTGGGTAGAAAGCCTCATTTGAAGGTGCTTGTGTAAATCCCAGAAATTGATCCTTGGTCAAAGGAAAGCAAACGACAAGTTTACAGCTTTTAACAAGTCTTTTCTGGCCTTGTGACAAGTAGGGACAAGTCCTTGAAAGGTGACAGAGAAGAGCAGGAACCTGGCACAGGGAGTGTGAGGGTGGCAATGCACCTCTGCAGTGGATTTCTGCCCTGCTGTGTTGCGAACTGGTGCTAAGCACTGATCTTCCAGGTGTTCATCTCGCCAGCAGCCTGTTTGTCTAAAGACGGCAGGAATTTAATTTCAGGCTGGTGGTGGTTGTGAGCCTTGTCATCTGCTCTGTAAGAAGAGGTGGGGTGATCTCCTGGTTGTTTCTGATGAGCTGTAATGCTCTTTCTCTCTCCTCAATAGATGCCGCCTCCCTATGAGCATGCTCTGAGGCATCCTCCAGCTTTCTCAGGAACAGGAATAAGCTCAGAGACCTTGGGCAGACGTGGTGTGCCAAACCCTTTCCAGGCCCATCTCAGCTACCAAACTCAGCAAAACACAGCTGTGTAAGGCCTTGGCCTCCACGTACCACTTCTTCCCTGGTGTCAGCGACAGAGGTGCCTGTGACATCGTTCTCGTCCACAGGGAGTAGCCGAACCTCGGACCTCCACCCAGATTTGCAATCAGTCGAGACACAGGCAAGTCCTAGCCAGCCGGCGGAGACGTCCCTCCCGCAGCACCAGGACAGTCACGGAGCTGCTGCCAGGTACTGTGCTCCAAGCGGAGCAACCAGGGCTGTCTGCTCGCTCTTCTCTGCCAAACGTACTGTTACCAAAGGCGACGGACCAGCTGCCTGCTTCTACACACAGGGAGGCAAAGCCAAGGTGAAGGTCTGCTCAGCCACAGGTCCTCCAGGCAGCTGGTGTTGTCATACCTCTGTGAGGCAAGCACTGCCCGGCGTGCCAAGGATCTGACCTCAAGACAGTGCTCATGTTGTGCTACTTGACTTATTTCCTAGGTTATAAAATGTTTTACTTTATCAGTGTATTGGATTCCAGGTGGGAATCCTCACCTGTGAGTGACAGAACAAACTTGCATCAGAGCATCGCTGTGTGCTCTCACAGCAACAGTCCTCTGTGACTGAGAACACTTTGGTATGGACCTCCGATAAAGATTCGGAGAGGGTCCGGGGGTTGTGTCACCTGCTGTACGCAAATACTAACCACCGAGATGAACCATGTGACTGGACATGCAAGCTGGGAAAGGACAGGAGAAACACGGACAAGACAGCTGGCGGTCTCCATGAAGAACATAAAGCAAAGGTGGATGTGCGTGGCTGACCCAGTTTACCTAGTCATCTTCTGCAGAGCAGACAACCTAATGTCAACACGGGTGTCTTTACACCACCAATTTTGATAACCTGTTTTCTACTGCAGAGCCAATGTTTCAAATTGTTTACAAACCTGTAGATAAAATGAGATCAGTTTGGGCATTTGGGCTCCTTTCTTTTGAGCTACATAAGCTCAAAAATGTCACAGAATGACTCGGGGAAGAAAAAAGGATAAGGCTTCTGGATCACGGATACACCTCCAGCTCCTGAGCTTCAAATACCACCCCAGACTTATGCATCTTAGCAGGCACTCTAAAATTAGTCACAAGTTAGCTTTACGAGTGTGAACTTGCCTCACATGGCTAGTAAACAGAACACTTTCAGCTATTTAAGTTAATCATTGAGGCGAGTTAGATAGAAAAATCTAGCTTCCTGGGATGCAGTTAGGTGCAAGAGGATCTGTCCTCTCTCACAGTATTTTGAATTGATACAAATGTAACAGTAATGTCTAAAAATGAGTAATAATAGATAGAGGGAATTATTAGTGGGACAAGTACTGATATAAGAATGAGTGTAGAGAGAACTCATCCAGTCGCACAACAGCACAGATTCTCCAGAGGAAAGCAGCTCCACATACTGAATGAACATAAATAACACATTCTATGAACAGCTGAGACCTTCAGCAGCCCCACAGCATTTATTACATGCTCTTACAAATGGCAGCAGGTGATCCCAGTACCTGAACACTGACCACATGTGCTTTAGGAACAAGCAAACTAAGTCCTAAGCTGGTATCTTCGGAGCTAGAATATTCTTGTCCTGGGATGCCAGTCCAGCTGGAGCGGTCTGCCCCAGCCGCTCCTTCCCATCTGTCCCTAGGTGACAAAGGAGGCTCAGAGCATGGTGACCAGTTTAAAGCTTCCTACTTCTGTGGTAGGGATAACACTGATAAAGGTCTTATAAAGAATTGCTCCTTTGGGTAGACGACAGATCACTTCCCTGCTCTCACTGCTGCGGGGAGGAGGTACGTAGACCTCTTTAGTGTATCTCACAATCCCATCCTCCAGGGCATAGAGTGTCTTGTTACGGCCCATCCCCACCTGGAAGAGGATGAGGAGTGTTAAAAAGGAAAAGCTGGAGGTCCACCACTCAAGCAGATCTGATCATTGGTCTGCCTCGTTTGATAGCCTAGCTTCAACAGCATCTGTTGCTTTATATTTTAAAATAAAAGCAAACCACACTATTTGCTTCCAGCAATCGGTATGCAATGGTGCTCGTTATGAGGGAGGACATACCGATTCCACCCTGAAGCACAACTACCCAGTTAGGTTACCAGAGTGTTTGGGGATATTCCTAACTTTCAGTCCTCTCAGTCACGGGGGCATGGGTGTGACTCTCAGCAGGCTCTGTGACTAAGAAATACCAGGTAATGAAACCCATTTTCAGGATTATATAGAATATAGGGACAAGCATTAAGAACTAGCTTGAATGAGAGGGGGCACTGAGTACAGGACGCTGTTGTGGGCTGCTGTTCTCCGAGAGCCAAGGAAGAGATGGAAAAGCAACTTACATGAGCCCCTGGATGCCAGCGTATCAACCGCTGCGTAGCCAAAATGTTGCCTGCCTGCACAAATGCACCTGCAACAGAGCAACAAAGTCAGACTGCAGAGACATGAAGCTCCCCGAAGCCCTGGCAGAACACAAACAGTTCCAGGGCTTACAAACCCCAGCTTTCTGTGGGAATTTTCTAAGGAAAAATTATTTCAAATGCTAAAAGCATCTAAACAAAAATGCTGTTAGCAGGAAATAAAGGACAATTGATATACAATACCGAAAAGCAATTCTAATCTTTGAAAAGATTACTTCTGGCATTTTCTGGTTGATAAAGGCATTTGTTTTATTACCTTTTACATCGATATGTTTTCATCAGCAAAGATAATAATTATTAAGCACTCAGCTGCAAGAATCTGTACTTTGGCTTCTGCTAAGCCTAATAATTCTCCCCTTTATAAACATCTAAAATGCCCAGCTTTTCAACACAGCGTGGGGGGAAAGTGCACTTAAGTTATTAGGTGTCCCACAGCGTACCCTCCTCCCAGGCACTCCAGAAAGGCCAAGTTAGAATCAAAGTACGTTTTCTGTAGGCAATTTTGGCTGGCCGCTCGCAGGCCCAGCTGGGAGGGAGGCTGACTCACCCTGCCCTCCTGCCGCCTACCCTTGATCACAAGGTTTCACTGAACCTCCCCTTTCCTTTCTCTTGGAAAAGCACCGTGGCCACCTCCTACTGAAATGCACAACAACTAACACCCATGCCAGGGGAGAAGCTGTGAAGAACCCAATGAAACGCAAGTAAGACTCAGCAGATACTCAGACCTACCTTCTACTTTTTTGAATCCGTATCGCTTCCCAGGGCTGCGGCCACCTAAATTTTTTGAGCTGCCCCCGGTTTTCTTAGAAGCACATCTGACAGCAACCAGGCTTGTTTGGGGAGCCGTTAGAACTAGGTTGGGAGCAAGAACAACGACGTCAGCTGAAAAAACCTATTATATGTGCTTTATTTTTTCAGATTTAAAGGATGTCAGTTAAGACAGGCTTTAAAACTAAAGGCAAAAGAAAGCCCTGAGGAAAAAAATTTACTTCCAAGATAAATCATAATTGGACTGCTACGGCCTAAGTATTCAGCAAAGAGGCCACATCTCAAGTACTGCTGCTGCTCAGGGAGGAGTAGAACTCTTGGCAACTATGTTAAAGGACATGCCCAAATTCCTGTTTCAGCAAGGCCTTGTAAAATGAGGTACAGATGTTACGGGTTGCTGTGGATTTGCCTTATATTGCTTTGAGAAAAGACAAGCTGTGATCTCTGTTTCAGTTTCCTCTTCAACGGAACGGCATTTACTTACACAGTAATATTTTGAAATCTTACAAATGAGAAGACTCCAATTCAGGACGATATAGAAGCATATATAGAATTGCTATCCTGAGCATCCTAACAAGCATTTTGTGCAAATCCTTGAGTTACAATCAGGACAAGTCAAAGAAAAAAATAAATCAGTTGTTACAGACACTGATTTTCTCTGGAACACAAACTATCATTCACACCACAAACTTCTCCCTTAAGCAAACAAATGACACTAACAGAAAATACACTGGTTTTCTTATCAAGAAAGCTGACCCTCGCATGAACTTCTCTCTGTTAAAAATGACTGAAATATAATTAGTTCTTTTAAAAAATCTCTTCAGTACCTCCTTTCACGCAGTTAGCTGGCAAATCAAATTTTTTCGGAGTCCCTCTATTTAGCCTCTTAAACAACAGATTAGTATGGAAGACTGGTTATCTTAACATTCTTCTTTTCTTATCCTGAGTAAAAGCACTGGATTAATTTAATCTTAATTAAATTATCATAGCTACTCAGTCAGCTAGAAATATTGTTGAGAAAAGGGTAATTGCTCTACAAAGGATCATTAATTTCAGAGGCTTACCCATTAAATAAAAGAAAGGCTTGACAGACTACAGGGAAGTAGGCAAAAATGAGAGTTACAGCTTCATATACACAAATTCTACGAAGTTATAATCCAACTGACTTTTATAAAAAAAATTCCAACAACTTGGAATACTGGTTCCAATCAACAGGTTGATTCCAGGGTTACATTTTGTGTTGGATGAAAGAAGCTTGCTGACAAAAAAATGAATTTAAAGCATCAGGCATGTGAGGAGAAAGGGTTAGCTAGAGAAGACAGACAGAGTGCATGTAACTTGACTGAAGTCATGCTGGAAATCGGTGGAAAAAAATTCACTATTCTGATATCCCACCAAAGAAACTATGAGGATATTTCTGCCTGTGACACTTCTAGATTTAAAAAAGGCAATTTTAAAGCCTTCTGACTATTGCACTGTGCAAAGAGAGAGCAATACCCCTCGCTGTTTGGTGTCTACCTACCACACACGAATGACGTTTTTAGAATGATGATTTTTTTTCACCATGAGGGCAGTCAAGCAGCAGCAGAGAGGTTGTACAGTCCCCATCCCTGGAGGTTTTCGAGTCCAGAAGGCATAAAGCCCTCAGCACCTCAACGCCACCTCAGAGCTGACCTGCTTTCTGCAGGTAGCACTACAAACCACCTGAAACCCCTTCCCGCATGAAGTACCCCGCGATACGGTAGCACTAGGGCCTGAAACCCTCGCATTTCTCCACAGCACCGCCTCAGCCAAGCCGCGGCCTGAGGTAAAGGCGAAGGCCTCGACCCCGAGCTACCGACAGGGACTTCCCCTAGGGCACCCTCCTCGCAGCTCAACCTCCCACCCCACGACCAAACCCCGCAGAGAAGGAAAGCTGAAGGTGGAAGTAACCCCTCACTCACACAAC